CTAACATTGTGACATCTCCACTGCCATCAATGCAACTTCACCTGCATCTTCAGCAGACGCAAGGCAAAAGGGTTGATATTAGGATATCACGCTGACAAAGCAAAGCTTGGAATTACATTGAGTTATTATTTTTTAATGTTATTATTTATATAGCGCCAACAAATTCCGCAGCGCTTTAGAGTGGGTGGACGAACAAACATGTAGTTGTAACCAGACAAGTTGGAAACACAGGAACAGAGGGGTTAAAGGGCCCTGCTCAATGAACTTACATGCTAGAGGGAGTGGGGTAAAGTGACACAAAAGGCAAGGATTGTATTAGATTAATGACAGTTGCAAGAGAGGAATCAGTCAGGAGCTATTAACAGTTTCATTGATACGCTTTTATGAAGAAGTGGGTTTTTAATGATTTTTTTGAAGGTGAGCACCTAACATAGGAGGGAAGTGAGTTCCAAAGGAATGGTGCAGCCGTCGAGAAGTATTGAAGGCAAGCATCAGAGGTGGAGTACGGACAGAAGATAGGCATAAGTCTTCAGCAGAGCGTAAGGGCCTAGATGGGACATACTTGTGTATTAGAGAAGATAGATAGGTGGGAGCAGATTATGTGGAGATTTGAAAGCAAGAACCAGAATTTTAAATTGGGCTATATCTTACAGGAAGCCAATGTAGGGACTGACAGAAGGGTGAGGCGTGGGAGGTGCGGGTGGACAGGAAGATGAGCCTCGCCGCCGCATTCATTATGGACTGTAACTGTGCTAGTTGGGAGCATGTAAGACTACTGAGAATCGGATTACAGTAGTCAAGGCGAGAAAGGACAGTGGAATGGACCAGCACCTTAATATCATCTGGCATCAAGTAGGGTCAGATGCGCGCAATGTTTTTGAGATAGAAGCGCCAGGATTTGGTGATAGACTGAACATGAGGCGTGAAGGAGAGGTCGGAGTCAAAGAGAACACCTAGGCAGCGAGTCTGTGTGGTGGAGCTGATGGTAGCACCATTGACTTGGAGGGAGGGAGACACAGGAGTAGCAACACTTGAGGGAGGAAAGACTAGAATTTCAGTTTTGGTCTAGTTGAGTTTAAGGAAGTGAGCAGTCATCCAGTTAGAAATAGAGGCATTTAGAGACTCTAGTCAAGAGGGACAGGGAGAAATCAGATAGATTTGCGTGTCATCCACATAAAAATGATATTGGAAGCCAAAGAAGCTAGGGAGTTTACCAAGGGAGGCAGTATAGATGGAGAACAGTAGGGGACCAAGGACTGAACCTTGGGGGACACCAACAGAGAGGAGTCGGGGAGAAGAAGCAGAGCCAGAGAAAGAAACACTGAAAGAGCGTTGGGAGAGGTAGGAGGAGCACCATAGACTGTAGACTGATATTGCAGATAATGAGAAGAAGCTGTTGATGATCAACAGTGTCAAAAGCCGCAGAGAGGACAAGGAGAATTAGGATAGAGTAATGACCATGAGATTTTGCAGTGAGTAGATAATTGGATACTTTGGTCAGTGCCGTTTCCACAGAGTGCTTAGCGCGGAAACCAGACTGAAGCGGGTCTAGCAGAGAGTTGGACTCGAGGAAGTCTGTCAATCTCACATACACAACTCTTTTAAGGATCTTGGATGCAAAAGGAAGTAGCGAGATAGGACGGTAGTTGGGTAGCTGGGTCAAGGTTGGGCTTCTTTAGAATTGGGGTTAATAGTTGCATGTTTTAAGGGTGATGGAAATATGCCAGAGGAGAGAGAGAGATTGAGAATTTTAGTGAGATGTAGAGAAAGAGAAGAAGACAGAGTACGGATGAGATGCAAGGGAATTGGATCTAGGGAGCAGGTGGTGGGACGGGAGGACTGGAGCAGAGCAGAAACCTCTTCCACTGTAGCGGCTGCGAATGAACATAGAACAGCAGAGGGAGTGAGGTTAAGGGAAGTATTGTAAGGGGAAGAAGAAAGATTAGTGATCTCTTGCCTGATTGTAGAGATCTTGTTAGTGAAGTGAGCTGCAAAGTCTGCGGCAGTCATGTTAGTAGGTGGAGGAGGAACAATAGGGTGAAGAAGAGGGTTAAATGTGTGAAATAATTGTTTGGGTTCGCAGGAGAGTGTGGTTATGAGGGTATTGAAGTAATTTACTTTTGCAGAGGAAAGAGCCGAGCTTTATGAGCGCAGCATAAATTTATAGTAGAGAAAGTCAGACACACAGTGAGACTTTCTCCAACAGCTTTCAGCAGTTCTGGAGCATTTTTGGAGGGATTGAGTCAGCTTGGTGTGCCAAGGTAGTTGTTGGGGCACTTGCTGTGTTTAAATGTAGGAGGTGCCATGATGTCTAGTTAAGATGAGAGGGTGGAATTATAGAAGGAGGTTGCAGAGCTACGACAGGTGAGGTTTGAGATAGGTAAAAGGAGAGTTTTGAGTGCCATCTTTCTCCAAAAGGTCCGCACTTACGCATTTTTATTTTTGCAATGGTGTTTATTTTTTAGTTTGGACACTGTTTCTTATTATATTGTTATTTTTGATGCTCTGTTCTTTATGAGTTCTGCCTGCCTTTTATTTGTCATATAATTATTTATTTTTTTTTATGTAACGGACCGTTTCTCTCACAAGGGGATAAAATCGGTTTAGGCGATAATCCCCTTTCCCATAGACCAGCAGCTATTGCAATCACCAACTTCCCGAACTCCAAACTGTACGAATCCCCAACTCACGAACAAGAAATACACGAACTCTGGAAGCAGCCGAACAGGAAAAGCAATACGAACGGCTTACACTCCTGGCAGTCAGCACACAATCCAATTCCCCCAATAACGAGACGACACTTCACTTTGAGGGTTAAAACAGGAACTCCCTGTACTGTCACATACAGTCTCTTTTATTCCCAATCCACAAACATAGTACAGCCCACGGGGCGTTACAAAACAACCAATCACATCACAGTTACATCCCACATATTCCCTCCCCTTATCCTGAGAGGAAACTCAATTATACATACAGTTAAAACATACTTTCTACCCAACTTTCATAACTCCAAAACCATACATCACATTCACATAAAATTACATATTCACAATCAATCCATTCAGGGAACAACATATTCAAAAATGGCACAAATCAGACAAGGGGTTCAAAAGTTAGTAAAAAGTCCTTTGTGACTAAATGAAGCATGGCTTTCTGGCCCAAACCAGTTTCAGAGCCTTCTATCCTGGAGATAAGTAATTCAATTATCTCCCAGGACAGACACAGACTCCATTAAGCACATGGTTGCAAAAAGACACAAAACACTTTAAAATACATAAAGTCACCTTTACACATAACACACAGACAGTTCACATATCCCCAGATTAGCTGGGATCTGAGTGCACATTATTAGATGAATGGCACTCAGATCACACAAATAAGCCTTTCTGCAGGGGAAATAAACGGTTTAACCTGCAGGGCCATAGTCCAAAGGGAGCAGGCGAGCAACCAGGCTTCTCCAGTTCACAGTGGCGAGGTTGGTTTCGCCACACTTCTCCCCTTTACTAACTAGACTAACAGGGTATCTGACCTCCTGCCGGTCAGTGCCCTGGTTAGTCCAGCAACCCACCCACAAAACAGAAACAGCAGTACAGCCCACCCACAATAACTGGTCACTACACCTGGGTAGAGGAGAACTTTGTCCATGTCCAGGTGCCTCACCACGACTGTGTGGGCAACTGTTAGGCTGCCTTGGTGGGTTGCTGAGTGGGCAGAGACCAGCGGTACTCTGCCCTGATGCCAGTGCTACCACGGAAGGAGCCTGGTGGGAGCCTGGTTGTGGGAGGGAGAGACCGACTGTCTCCCCTCTGGATACACCGCTCTGTGGCTGGGGAACAGGACCGACTGTCCCTACCCCTTGTGCTGTAAGTGCACTGTTGGGGGGTGTAACATCTCCCCTTGCTGGGTTAGGCTGCCGCTGGAGAGAGGGTGTAACAAGCTCCTCTCTCTGAACTGTAAACTGCCGCTGGGGAGAGGGGGTATCAAGCTCCTCTCCCTGACACTCTCTCTGCTGCTGGAGAGGAGGACCAGCTGTCTCCCCTTTCATTATTTTGTCCTGTGGTTGGGGTGCGAGACTGACGGTCTCTGCTCCCTGCAGGACACTCTGCCGCTGGGGAGGAAGGACGGCACCTTCGGCTCCCTGGGGTACACACTGCCGCTGGGGAGGAAGGACTGCACCTTCAGCTCCCTGGGGTACACACTGCAGCTGGGGAGGAAGGACGGCACCTTCTGCTCCCTGGGGTACACACAGCCGCTGGGGAGGAAGGACAACACCTTCAGCTCCCTGGGGTACACACAGCCGCTGGGGAGGAAGGACAACACCTTCAGCTCCCTGGGGTACACACTGCGCTGGGGAGGAAGGACTGCACCTTCTGCTCCCTGGGATATACACTGCCGCTGGGGAGGAAGGACGGCACCTTCAGCTCCCTGGGACACACACTGCTGCTGAGGAGGAAGGACGACACCTTCAGCTCCCTGGGACACACACTGCAGCTGGGGAGGAAGGACGGCACCTTCAGCTCCCTGGGACACACACTGCCGCTGGGGAGGAAGGACGGCACCTTCAGCTCCCTGGGACACACACTGCCGCTGGGGAGGAAGGGCGGCACCTTCAGCTCCCTGGGGTACACACTGCCACGCTGGGGAGGAAGGGCGGCACCTTCCAGCTCCCTGGGGTACACACTGCCGCTGAGGGAGGAAGGACTGCACCTTCAGCTCCCCTGGGACACACTGCCGCTGAGGGAGGGAAGGACTGCACCTTCAGCTCCTGGGATACACACTGCCGCTGGGAGGGAAGGACTGCACCTTCAGCTCCCTGGGATTACCCACCTGCCGCTGGGGAGGGACTGCACCTTCAGCTCCCTGGGATACACACTGCCGCTGGGGAGGACTGCACCCAGCCTTCAGCTCCCTGGGATACCCACGGCCGCTGGGGAGGAAGGACGGCACCTTCAGCTCCCTGGGGTACACACTGCCGCTGGGGAGGAAGGACTGCACCTTCTGCTCCCTGGGACACACACTGCCGCTGGGGAGGAAGGACGGCACCTTCTGCTCCCTGGGGTACACACTGCCGCTGGGGAGGAAGGACGGTACCTTCTGCTCCCTGGGGTACACACTGCCGCTGGGGAGGAAGGACGGTACCTTCTGCTCCCTGGGGTACACACTGCCGCTGGGGAGGAAGGACGGTACCTTCAGCTCCCTGGGATACACACTGCCGCTGGGGAGGAAGGACGGCACCTTCTGCTCCCTGGGACACACACTGCCGCTGGGAGGAAGGACGACACCTTCAGCTCCCTGGGGTACACCTATGAGTCCCCGTAACGCACTCTGCCACCGGATAGGGCGGCCGATACCTTTGGCTGGATCTGCCATGAACTGCAGGTACTCGTCTACCTGGCTCCTTATGAGCTGCACGTATTTCTCCGGGGGGTTGGGTCCAAAGAAAGCCAGCCGCATGGTAAACTCTCTGTCATACTGCTCCTGAGTGTAGCTGGGTGCCATGCTTGCGCTGCTGAAGTTAGTTCTTTTGTAGATAGGGTTGCTGTACGGGTACTGGCGTTGCCCTCACTTTGTAAATCCACGAACTGTGTCTCCGAGCTGCTTTACCTCGCACTAGGACGCCATCCCACCGCTGCCACCAATTGTAACGGACCGTTTCTCTCACAAGGGGATAAAATCGGTTTAGGCGATAATCCCCTTTCAATAGACCAGCAGCTATTGCAATCACCAACCTCCCGAACTCCAAACTGTACGAATCCCCAACTCACGAACAAGAAATACACGAACTCTGGAAGCAGCCGAACAGGAAAAGCAATACAAACGGCTTACACTCCTGGCAGTCAGCACACAATCCAATTCCCCCAATAACGAGACGACACTTCGTTTTTAGGGTTAAGCAGAATCTCCAGTGCTGGCACACCCAGCCTGGTTTTTATTACAATCCACAAAACATAGTACAGCCCACAGGGCGTTACAAAACAACCAATCACATCATAGTTACATCCCACATATTCCCTCCCCTTATCCTGAGAGGAAACTCAATTATACAAACAGTTAAAACATACTTTCTACCCAACTTTCATAACTCCAAAACCATACATCACATTCACATAAAATTACATATTCTCAATCAATCCATTCAGGGAAACAACATATTCAAAAATGGCACAAATCAGACAAGGGGTTCAAAAGTTAGTAAAAAGTCCTTTGTGACTAAATGAAGCATGGCTTTCTGGCCCAAACCAGTTTCAGAGTCTTCTATCCTGGAGATAAGTAATTCAATTATCTCCCAGGACAGACACAGACTCCATTAAGCACATGGTTGCAAAAAGACACAAAACACTTTAAAATACATAAAGTCACCTTTACACATAACACACAGACATTTCACATATCCCCAGATAGCTGGGATCTGAGTGCACATTATTAGATGAATGGCACTCAGATCACACAAATAAGCCTTTCTGCAGGGGAAATAAACGGTTTAACCTGCAGGGCCATAGTCCAAAGGGAGCAGGCGAGCAACCAGGCTTCTCCAGTTCACAGTGGCGAGGTTGGTTTCGCCACATTTTACAAGTGAAGATCCACTACTTATGAACTACCTCATTTATATGTTATGGACAGGGCTTGACTGGGAATTAAAAGCAGCCCTGAAAAAAATTATTTACCAGCACCATAATGCGTCACGCCAGCATAGTGTGCAAATACAGAGTTATAAAAGATAACTTAAAATTAAAAATTATTACTCCAACGTGAAAAAAAAGCACTCATAGGCTTAAAAAAAAACAAAAGTGCAGATTTATTTTAAGCAAACGTGCCTTTGCATGTAATCAATGTTTCAGTCCAACTACCTTGATATATTAAGTAAAGCTTGGTAATGGGACTAAAATGGTGAATGTATGTAGGACACAACTGTAAAAAAATGACGTTATCTTGTTTATTTTGTCCTGTGGGTGCGCTCTTCACTTTAAATATGTTATTGTGCTGGAGTATGCACCTAGCAACAAGACTGGGCCAAGATCTGCTCATTAAATATGGTACATATTAATGACATTTCCCTGTGTATTATGCCTATATAAATGTCCATTAATATATGTGTAAATATAATAGGCATAATTTTATATATATATATATATATATATATATATATACACACACACACCATTGGCGGATCCAGAGCCTGATATCGGGAGGGGCACTTGTAGATTATTTAAAGAAATAATCCATGCACAATAACCACTACTGCTCTGTGTAGTGGTTATGGTGCCAGGAGTGCTGGGACCCCCTCCAAGAGTAAGTAGTCAAACCATTTAAGAACAGTTTGACAACTTACCTGGGGTCTGCTGGAATATGGGGCTGTATTAGTGTATAGGAGCAGTGGTGCAATGTGTGAGGGGTTCAGTGTGTGTAAAAGGTTCAGTATGTGTGTGTGTGGGGGGTATAGTGTGTGTATGGTGTGTGGGGCAATGTGTGTATGGGGGGCTGTGTATCTGGCAATGTGTGTATGGGGGGCTGTGTATGTGTGTGTGGGGCAATGTGTGTATGGGGGGGCTGTGTGTGTATGGGTAGGCAGTGTATGTGGGGCGATTTGTGTATGGGAAATTTGTGTATGGGGGCAGTGTGTAAATGTGTATGGTGTGTGTGGGGGCAGTGTCTGTGTGTGTGGGGCAATGTGTGTATGAGGGGGCAGTGTGTGAATGTGTATGTGTGTGGGGGCAGTGTGTGAATGTGTATGGTGTGTGTGTGGGGGCAGTGTGTGTATAGGGCTAGAGTTCACTCTCACCACTGCGACCACCTGGAATCCAGTAGCTCAGGGATAGAGCTCACTCTTACAATGCCCCATTGCCCCCGGATCCACCAGTGATATTTACAGCCCGTATGTCTGTCTCTTTACCTCCAGCCCCTCTGTGTGCCTTTATGTCCCCCCCAGTCCCTCTGTATGTTTCTTTCTCCCCCTCACTGCTCCTCTGTGTCCATGTCTCCCCTCTCCTTCCCAGTCTCTCTCTTTCCCCTCTGCCTCTTTCTCCCCCTCCCCTTATGTGTCTCTCTCTTCCCCTCTGTCTCTTTCTCCACCCTTTCCCTGTCTCTCTCTCCCCCACATCTCTTTCTCCCCCTCCACCATCTCTCTACTTTCCCTCCTTTTCCCCCTGTGTCTCACTCTTCCCCCTATGTCTCTTTCTCCCTCCTTTCCCTGTGTCACTCTCTCTCCCCTCTGTCTCTGTCTAGTCTCATGCTGTCTCTTTCTTCCCTCTTCCCCTGCGTCTATCTATTCCCCCTCTCTGTTTTATCCCCTTGTGTCTCTCTATTCCCTTTCTTCTCCCTCCCATTTACAGAGAGAAGTCAGAGGGGGCCGGCCGCATTCCACGCTGGAGCTGCTGGGCCGGGTGGCAGCCTCGCCGGTCTGGCCCCCTCAGAGTGTGAACGTGGCCGGCCCCCTCAGAGTGTGCCACCGGACGGGCCACTCAGTGGCACCTACATGGGCAGCTCCCAGATGCTGGGAAATTTCCTGGTATCCCGGTGGGCCAGTCAGGCCCTGATTATGGATGGCAGTGAGTGTGTAAATTGAGCAATGTGGTGATACTTTCATTTTGGATTCTGGCACCACTACTACTTTATAGCTTATTCAAAACATCAGCATGAAGTAAGTGACCACAATGTTTTTCTCTTTTTTTTCTTTCTTTGGATATGTTTTCCCCACTGAGATTGGGGTTACGGCACTAAGATTCTTTATAGGATTTTCCCTGGAGTTTGATGTCATTTATTTAGAGTGCCTCCAAGAAGGCCAACTTGCAAAGTGAAAATTATTGGCAAGGAACTGAGTACGGGGAAATTAAAGGGTTAATTCACTAGTGCCAGTATAATGCAACATTTGCAAAGATACCACAGTTCTGTATTAATGAGGGAAGAAGCAGAACAAGAAAGTACTAGGACAGGCGGCACGTCAACTGGTGCTGTGCTTGTTCACCTACCTTATTTAAACATATATAAATATTGTTTTAAATTAAATTTCTCCTATTAAAGGAATATTTTTGTAAATGTGAAATGTGAGTGGGCATTGGCAATTGACTACCCACTCACCTTTTTTCACCCTGAGCAGAACTACGCTTTCCCACTCATTTCAGTGTGAGAAAAACAGTGCCCTATCATAATTTTTTTCATCCTGCGTACGTGGAGGGAGCAGGCACTGCATGGCTAAGACAATGAAAGGCATTTGAAAAAAAGGGGGAGCAGCACTAAGACTTTTCAAAAAAAAGAAAGAAAAATTTAATTGATTAAACACTTGCCTGTTCCACCCTTTATTTTCTCTGAAAAGTGCAATTTTTTCAAATTAAATGACTCCTGTTGCTGCAATGCCATTTTTGTTTTCCTTTAAACGAAGTAGTGTAGTAATTTATTATATATTTGGCACTTTGCTCACCTCACTTATTTTCTATTATTTACTTGTGACATTCGATAATTGTTATAGAAAACCTGAGTGGGGAGCGGCATGTGCACTTGCTAAAAGTTTTGCCTATATGTCACACTGAAGTGACCAATATATACTTTATTTGTATTTCTATCAGAATTAAATACAAAGTTAATGTAACTGTACTACAGTAATATAACAATACTTGTCTATGTTTTGTAATACACCTCCAGGTCACTTTCTCCCACTTAACTTTTTCTTGCTTACTACATAAAAAAAAAAAAAAAAATGAATTTAACTATATATTTATTTTGAAAAACCCTCCCATTTACATTTCCTATTCCAGGGATTTAACCTCTAGCTCTTCATAAACATTTTTTTTAAAATAGAATGAATATCTTCCATTACACAAGTAACTCCTCATTGCCAAGCTGAACATGATACTTTGAATGATTAGATGGTTATCACTATTTCTTTATTATCCTGTCTGATGTTTTAAATGCTTGCAGATTATTATTACACCTAAATTGTTCAGTATATTGGTTTTTTTTTACTCTTAAATTCAACTTTGGCCTTGTAATGCTATTTGCTTTTACCCTTAAAAAAAATGTTTTAAAAAAAAGTTTTGCTCCATAATCCTACCCTTTTGCCTCACTTTTCTAACAAACATTATTTACCCATTTCTTCCATTAATACTATTTTACAGGATGTAATGAGTGACTTCTATTAGAGGTGTTATAAGCCAGCAATGTAAACACTGCATTGTCTCTGAAAAGGCAGTGTTGACATTAAAAGGTCTGCATTGGACAGGCTATAGACACCAAAACCACTATATTAAGCTGTAGTGTTTCTGGTA